GTAAGTATTTCAAATTTGGCTTTAATACTACTGGTCTTAGCCAATCACATTTCAGAAATTTCTTAGCCTGTAGTATAGTACAAATCACGTTCCAACAAGGGTGCGAACTGCAAAAACACCCACAAAAACATAACGTACAGGATATGATTAAAATCCTGCGTAACGTTGAGAACGTGCAATGTTTACTTTTTAATTTTGGGGCTCACGGATTTAACGTTAAATCCGTGAGCCCCAAAACTGTTGGAATTTAATTGCGTTACACAATTTGACAGGCGTTGTACCGACTGAGATAAAGTAACTGTCAAGTTTGTCGCGCGCTCAGATGACATTTTATGTTATGCGTAACAGAAATGAGAGCAATTTAGCTTAGTGCATAGTCTTTCCCTGAAGGAAAAATGGTTTTAGACCGGTGGGTCTTCGTTTTAGACCAGTGGGTCTTCGGTCTTCGGTCTTCGTTTTTGGGTCTTCGTTTTCGACGCATCCCGAATTCACAGTCAGTACTTACTCCGAGTTTTGCGACATCCTCCATTTTGAATTTTGAAACCGCAGACCTGACTCATAACTTGACTCCGGCTCATTGACTCATTGACTCATGTTTACCGAACACTCGTAAAATTGTTAAGTGCGAAAGTTTCAAAAACTTGAGGGGTGGTTAATCAAGTCTGATTCAGGAGGGGGGTTATGATTTTATGCTTCCAATATGAAGATCTCTCAAAGATCCTTTTGGTGTCCAAATTTGAAACGAATTGGCCAAGTATTAAGCTTATTATAACACTTTGTGCCATACGGCACTATCGGGGCTTAACTTTTTTCCTTAGCAACCGCCAACGTCTGTTGCTTATCCCTTCTCCTGGTTGGCTACTCGGAATAATCAGCGAAAACTCGTTTCCGTAAATTATTTCATGGCGTGAATGTCAGCAGAGTTAACACTAAGGATCCTGACGTATGACGGCATGTTGCTATTATTGATCAAAGAAGCCTGTTGAAATGTTTTTTAGGCCGCTTTACGCGCAATTGTCGTCAGTCATGGATTAAAAAAAAAGCTAAACGTTATGATGATGGCGTAATAATGTAATGTCAAGTAATCACTTGTAGTTACCATGCTTCAGACAAATTAGTTTGCTGAGTTTTTTAATCGCACTTTTCTCCTACACGCAATAGAGCTATTGTGATTTTTCCTGAGCAACCGCAGTGGCCCGTTACCTCTCCTGCTCCCCTGGTTACTCGAAACCGTCATCAGCAATCGAACTCGTTTCCGGGAATTTATGGAACTGAGCCCGTAGATTTCAGCGGAGTCGTTGCTTGGGAACGTGACGTATAAAGGCAATCACACGAGGTCCAAAGATTGACTATAGACAAGAGAAGATTAAGGTAAGAGTTACCTTTATCGTTTCTTCTCATAGACGATTGTAGATATGGCATTTTCAGGCCTTTTTTAAGCATCGCTAGTTTTTTAATTCAGTCTTCGATTAAAAAAAGTCACAGAACGCTTGATGATATTTACTTTAGGCGAAGGATTCAAAAGCTGCAAATTCGATATCGCGTGATCACTTACTTAAAAGTCATGACCGAAACCGACGGTCCATGCCTAAAGCAACAAAAGCGTCTGGGATCAATATCATTCCATCTGAATGGAAAATGAATCGGAAACTTGTCAGCATAATTAAGGTTTTCCGAAAAAAAGACTTTTTTTTTTCCGAAGGTAGACATGGGAGCAATCTGCACTTACCTCAGAAGCGGGTACTTGGGAGCTTCTTTTTTCTCTTAGGTGGGCTGAAAGTATAAGCAAATTCATGATGAAGAATCAGACAGATTATCAAAAAAATTAACATAATTTCCGGGAAATGGTTAGGGGTCTAAAAAGTGCAAATGACGCTAATGAATAACAAATTCGTTTAGGACTTTGGAAGAAAACTTTCGATTTCATTACCCATCCGAAAGCATGTTCCAAGTATTGCTCAAATTCTATCGTTCAAATAAGAAGCTTAAGTCTAGTTAATACACTTAACAAGACGAAAGATCGTCAAAGGAGAGCAACTAAATTTTGGATCCATCGTGTGAATAAATTAAAGGCCTTTGTATTACAACTATTGTTTGTTGTCTTGCAAGAAAGGTTTGTTAATAGACAGTTCTAGTTCGTTGGCTTCGATCGGAAATAACACTGGTGGATAGTACCGGCAACGCATGCTAAACTTACTGAGCATAAAGTTTAAAACTATACCTTGACTGCTGATAAAAAAGCTGCAGAGGAAGAATACGAGCGAAGTAACTGATGCTGTCTTCATCTCTTTTGGTTTTCGCTCCCGGCCTAATAAAGCTGTTATCAGTAGATGTCTTACTCACAAATGGGGGAGGGAACACTGTTGTGTTCGCTCATAAAGTGCCACTCAGTATTGCTGGAGCCAATCAAGAATTGACACGATTACATGATGGAATGCGGATGGTTTTCTCGCAGACAAGCCCCCTCCCCTCCTCGAATACCCGTTTAGGAGGAAGCAGGAGGGAGGGGGCGCCTCTAAGCAAAGCATTGGCCGAGTCATCACTACCAGTGAGACGTCACGTTTCGCTTGGATGAAATTCAAAATGGCGCCCAACGGGTAAGGTTGAAGAAGTTGAAAAAAATGCAGAATTTCGCTCAGGATTTCTGCCCCATTTGCTTAGGTTCGTAAATATGGTGGTTTATATTATATTAAGGAATCTTTATTTGGTACTTTTTGTGAGCCAAAATATTTAACAGGTAGATGATTTTAGCGAGAACTTTCTGTTTTAAGGCAAATTTGTCGAGCAAAACTGTTAGCTGATTGACCTTTCGAGGGCCACTGTGTGGCGAAGCAGAGCCCTTTTGATACAAGAATAGGAGGTTCGACAGAATGTGTACTTGGCTTCGTGTATGTGGAATTTCAGTTCTTCAGTGCTCGTGGTTCATCTCATCAATCCCTTCAAAGTGCAAAGAGTGGCCGTGTGGAAAGAAGAGCCAAGTACTTTCCATGTTTCAGATCAGTCACCCCAAAACGCAGACCATGCAGACTGCAGACTGCAGACCGTGCAGACCGTGCAGACTGAGTACTTTTCTTCTAACACTTAACTCACATTTTTTCGGTTCTAGTTACAAAATAGTGTTCAGTAGTGTTCTGAATGTTTGTTAATTATCCACAGGCTGCACCAGCTCACCATCTAACGGTTGATTCAATAGACGAACACGTTAAATAGACTTTGTATCGGAAGTTCTCTTTAGTACTAAATATACTAAAATAAGGCATAGAAATAAACTTCACTTACCTCAACATAGGGTGTTCTTCCATTTATTTTGGGCGAAAATTGTGTCTATTTTTAACGTGTTCTTGTTGCTTGCAGTTTTATTTCTTCTGTTCAATTTGTTGTCGTTTGTTTTTTGTTCTTTTCAATATCCGTTGTCTTCGTTCCTCTTCATAAGTGAAGCAAGGACGGTGACTCGAAGCGACGTCGTCCCACAAATTGCTTTTGCATTACAAAGCAAGATAACATTAGACTACGAGCACGACGGACCAGGCGAAAGGGGTACCACTCTTAGTCTAAATCGCCATAAAAACGCCACTAGATAAATTTACCATCACATGAACTCATCACGGCAACCGTATTGCCCTGAGAATTTCAAATAATATTCGGTTTTCTGTGCAGTCGGCTTTTTTGGCGTGATCGCAGTCACGCTCCAACCGCCATTTGGAATTACATTTGGTACACCAAGAGTAGAAAATGTACATCTTACGTGCGACGTTACATTAAAAGTGAAGTTTATGTCTACATGTTAAAATAGCTTTACTTAAGCATATTTAGAACTAAAGGGAGTTTCTCTTGACAAGTCTATAGCGCCCTCGTTTATTGAATCAACAGTCACATACCGAGCTTGCGCGGCCTGTGCATAAATGGTCACAAATAACAAACACTCTGCTCTGGTCAATATAATCGAACACTATTTTGTGACGAGAACCAAAAAAATATGAGTTAAAAGTATGTGCAAAAACAAGAATAAGAAAAGAAAGAAAGAAAAAATAATACTCGGTCTGCACAGTCTGGATGGTCTGTGTTTTGGGGTGACCGGTTTTAGATAGCCAGATTAGGTAAGTTTTCACCTTCGTCGTACAACAGTTTACCGTTAGAGCAATATCCGTAATTTGGTTAATATTTATTGCTTGATTAGTAATTCGGTTCTATTTTATTTTGTTTTGTTTTGTTTGTGAACTGAGAGAAGTCTTTTCTTATATGCTAGGTATGCAACAAATATTATACATAGTTGTATCGTTTACATGAAAAACCCAGCCTAGTTCCTGGCCGGCGGCCTATAAATTGTGACTAGCTTTTCCCTGATTTCTAGTTTGGAATTGGATATTTTAAAAATTGATGAACGCTGTTAATCCAATAGATCCATCAGAAGCTATTGATTTGCAAGGTCATAATCAGCTAATACTTCCCTTTTGTTCATCTAAAAAGTTGTATCCCACTGAAAACAGGTTATTAAAGACACTTCTGTACTTTTACAGGGAATGTCACTGGAAGGAAAAGTAATATCATAATGCGCAAATTCCCTTTCAGAATGCCACACTGGGAATCACTTAGGGATTCTGATGAACATCTACCCTTGGAAGGCTTGTGCCCCCTGGATGATAAACTGGCATGGAGTTTATATCATGAGTTTACATGAGTTTATATCATGCTGCACCTTACTTTAGATTTGTAAAAATTTCTTTATCACCTGTCAAGACGTGCAAATGAGAGCTACATATTTTTTTTTGATATGTTCAATCATGCTGTCAAATGTACAAGTTCCTGCTTCATTTTTCACCCCCTTAGGCACCCTTCCACAACTCCAGTTAGACTCCCACTGATAATGACAGCCCAAGATATTTCCTAGGCACAAAGTCATGCAAAGGCTTACCACGGCTTGACTGGAATTAATTTTGAATTAATTTTGAATTAATTTGAGATCTCAAATTTAAAATAGTTACACTTTGGTGTGAAGGTAACAAATGTGACTTTTCTGTTATATCAGCAACTAAAATAGATGTCACCAACCTTGTTGACTTAAATACCATAATGAGGAGAAAACTAGGTGGTGAAATTCAACCATTTCTACGCAAGGATAACTGAACATCGACCAATGAAGACACAAAACAGAGCAAAATAGGGGAAATTCTCTGGAGCTAACTTCAAGGGTTTCAGTGCTGACTGCTATCACACTAACCACAAATAAAACCAGTAACAATGGATCAGGCAGGGCATATATGGCCATATATGGCCAGAATGAGAGCTTAGCTGCTAAGCACACTGAGATTTGGCATGTTTTGTGATGGGCAGAAACATTGTAGGCAAATGGACCTTTCCACAGTGCAAACGAGACCAGTATGGTCTACTCTAAATATATAACAACGTCGAAAGCCGCTGGTGAAAAGCCTTCGCAATGGTCTCACTGAGGTTTCTGGGTTATCAGACGTTGCTAGCGGCTTAACTTCTTATCTTGTACACCAAGTTTAATTGATTGAGTGGTAAACAGTAAATGCCTAAACCTATTTATAGTTCACCTCCTGAAATTTTAAATTTTTCTCCAGTTCTTATTGGTTTAAATTGAGAACGTGACGCGATAGCGTTCATCTGCGGAGAGGTAATATCTGCCCATACTGCCTGTCCGAGTAAAATGCCCGGGTTCCACTGATGAAAGAACAGTGGTAAAGTGGGGAAAAAGAATAAACTCGTATATTTGGGGATGGTTAGTGGCTAAGTTAGGAGAATGACCTTTGTGAAGTAGACAGTGATTTATTCCTGACTGATTAATTTTTTCCTGAATGATTTTCTAAAATAAAACAGCTGGAGTGGATACATATTGACTCTCCTTTAATAGTGTGGTAAGTATCTATTTTCCTTACAATATAAAAACATTGAAAAGCAGACAGGTGATAAGAATAAAGAAATTCATCAACTAAGTAATAATTAAAAATTATTTCACCAGTGCACGTTGGCCATAATCATCTGATATACAACAAGAGCGAGTGGAATAATTCTTTTATAAAAATGCCCCCAAAATAAAAAAAGGTTACACTAAAATAAAAATAAAAACGCCCCAAAAACCACGCGTATGCTTACCACATTTGTAGAGCATGGTATTGTTGCTCATAACCTATGATGGCTATAAGCCAATGAAAACTCTCGAATTGCATTATTCAATGATCCAGTTTTTATAAACCAGCGATATTATACCGAAGCAAAATCCATGGGAACGGACTTAAGCAAGATTTTAGGGCGCCCGGTTATGTGTTTCAATTTAATGACGGGCACAAGATAGATGGTACGTCAAGACTCGTCAAGACAAACTATCTACCCTACTGCCCAGTCTCAGAGATGAACTTGGTTGAGATAGCCACTGAATTCGTCGGTAAGCTCTCGTGTTTGGACTGGAGGCACGAGCGGCGAAGAGATACACGTGAGATTAGACGAACCTCTCCCTCTCCCCCTCCCTCCACCCCCCTACTACATCCCTCTTAACCTCACTCACGCGCCAAAGCGAACCCAGACACCAGAGGCCTACTCGCAGGCTGTTGTTTTGACGTACTACCAATTCAAATTCCTATGAAATAACAAGTATATGGAAGTCATTAAGGTAAATTAACAGATGGAACAAGATCAAAAGGTTCGAACCTTTTGATCTTATTCGCCACACTTATTCAACTGATCACATGCAAACCCGAAACTAGTCACGACTTGGTCACCTGTATTTGATCTGAGTTCTCATTGGTTCATTGTGTTGTCAATGTTTGTTTTCATTGACCCGTTTGGTAAGTAATTATTGAATTCCTCATTTCCTCATGATCAGTGTTAAGTGTGGTCCTTGAATGTACGCTTCTACAATAGAATGTGCTTATCACGACTGACGGAAAATGGTGCTTTCATCAGTAATGAAATCCTCGTTGCACAGAACAAAAGTAACCATATTACTACTTTCTAGGTGACTTAGCTCATAAGATCTAATGCTAAATGCGGTGCAGTGAACGCTGTACTTCTTATTAAAACATATTCCAGCCTTGTAGCTTGGTTTCATAATGCTGTTAGAGTTCCTGATGGGGTTACAAGAACAGCAACGCTTCAATGCCAGCCAGAAGGCACATGGTAACCAGGCCGAATCCCACGAGTTTGCCCGGACTAGAGTTGGGCCTCAGTACAGTAGGACTGGTTGTTGCAGTTGGTGTTGCTTCTTCGTGACTGGTCCCTGTCACAAGCCTGAAGATGGTGGTTGAATCATCCTGTGGCTTGTACGAATCCACTCCGAGTGGAATGGATTTTCCAGTCGCTTTATCGTAAATTATCCAGTATGTACCGGGATCCTGATTGGACAAAAGAAATGGATAAAAAAACTCAAAACACAAGACAACATCCATGAAGGCGGCATTACAGTGATCAGAATCTCCTTATTAGAGCCAGTCTGAGGTAAAATTAACTATCCATTGTACAGAGTTGGCTGCTGTAGGCACCTCTGTAGGGGTTGGTTTTGAGTAAGAGCTGCTGTTTGGATCGCTGCACGCTCAGGTCGACAAACTGTGACTGGCTGCCTGGAAGACTGCACTGATGGTTAACTACAGCATCGAAAAAATGCCCCTTTGCCGTCCAATCCACGATGGTCTGCAATACGTTTGAAAGGAGCTACGTTACAGTTTGTGCATCTTGAAAAGTTTAGACAAATTTTTCAAGCTCGTCGTTTGCATCGATTTGTAATTCTTGTTAATCTTCTCCATCCTTAACCATCCTTGTTCCTTTATGGTTTGATATCATCTCTTTGGTGTTTTTCCATCTTGGTAAACTACTATTTTCCGGTTTCCTTCAATTTAAAGGTAATTTTGTACGTGGCCAAAATAACTTAAACTACTGTGACCGGGCTACTTTAAATCACCTTTCATTTCTACTTCTCTTGATCTCTACGACAAGAGATCACATCTGAAAATACTAAATTCTTCTGAGGAGCATCGTGGAAAATGTATGAATTACATTCAGGAGAATTCAGATGTTCAACACGCACCTGTTCAGTACCGTTCATGGAAGCAATGAGATGTCCGTGTCCACCGTAATAAGTGGAAGTCCACCTATTGTAAGGGCCATTCTTATTTTCGTTGGCGGCCTTGTTCACAATGTCCACGAGAACAGTGTCCTTCGCAACCTGCGTGGTGTAGGAAGCAGGAATCGGTTTGCCAACACTGGTAATATTCCAGTCCATTTCAAGGGTAACTGTGATCGCAGAGGGTGGAACCTGTACAAAATAGCATGGTTTTGGTATTGAGAACAACTTATGTAATTTAAATAAATATTA